CTGGTACTTGATGATTCCAGTAGTGTACTGTGAATTTGTGTGTGTGTGTGTGTGGGGGGGAGTTTAACAAGAAGCCCTCTTTGAATGCAGTAGTTATTTCTGTGTCCTGACTGGTAATTTTTTTTAAAGTTGAATGAATATATTTAATATAGATGGGTTTGAAAATTAAATATTCTCTTAAACATTTAGTTTTGTTTTGTTTGAAATGTTTGATGTCTCACAAGAACTGCTTGGCTTTTGGTATACAGATCCATACTGCCTGCAAAGCAAGAGCTCTTCATGTGTAATGGGTGAGGCTTTAGAAGCAACTTAGAAGTTCCAGTAAAAATGGTACTTGTTGGTCAAATTGCATAAGGGACCTATGAACATGATCACATCATTGGGGACTTCATTAGTGTTAGTCTACTCTGTTGTTGTTGTTGAATGAAGGGGTCTAAGAAAATCCCAAGTGTTTCCATGGAATTTCAAGCTCCCAGATGTGTTCTCTTTGCTACTCAAATTTCATCTAGAGGTATACTTTCATTTTTAATAACTGTATGCCTATGTGAGATAGCTAGGTTGGGGTTTTTTTGTCAGGTACAATACTGATTTTTAGACACTGCCACTAAAGTTATTGTGGTTTTGCCCTCACGTTACGCAATAGCTGTCATACTGTCTCAGACAGACTTTAACATGCTCAATTGGATGTCCAAGTGCTTCACAGACAGCACTCTGGAGATTTCCATGCTTTCCCCATTTGGATTTTGGTGCAGGACTCTTGAAGGTAAACCCAGTCACTTTAGTGTTACAACCTGGAAAACTTCCCTGAAATGTGAAAGAAGGGAGGCATTAGATGAGAAGCGCTCAGAGAATAAAAGTATTTTCTGTTGTACTGTGCTAACTGTGGACTGAAAATAGTAAGAACAAGGTGATTTTTGTGTACCACTTCGAAGGAACTCTTGTATTTTGCTCATTTTTAAGGACCATGTTCCTTATGTGACGTCATCTTTGAAAATGAGTAGCCTTTACTTACTTTATTTTCTCCTCAATACCTTGCTGCATTCTCCATTAGTTTTCATAGATATTTAAAGGTTCATAAGCATTAGTAGCTTCTTTGAGAAATATACTTGTTGGCTTCTGTCAAAGAAGAAAAGTTGTTTGTTCTAGCATTAGATCCAGCATTTATATTTGTGCTTATTCTGTGCTGGATATGCTGGACCTCTCCTAGCTGCATCCAGTTTTATTACTCATTCACAATTTGGAAGCATGTATAGTAAGAGATTTACTGCATCTAGGGGTAAATTAACAGAACTGTTTAGCGCTTAAGTAAAAAATTAGTTAAATAATATATATCTGTTTTCAACTGTGCAGTATTTTTAATATGTGGCTTACCTTGTTGAAGGTATGTTTCAGTGCTTCAGTATATAGCACCAAAATAAGCTAGCCTCAGTGAAGGTGTTGTGAGTACATCTGTTCTGTGCGTTGCATTGGAACAGTATAAATAAGTTCTAATTTGTAGCATATTCAATGCTACATGTGTGTCTACATGAAAAAGCTCTCTGGTTCGCAGAGTAGCAACGTGAGGATTGCTGTTATTTCTTGTGATTTGTTTATCCAAGCATAAAATATATCAGTAGCATGCCTCAAAATCTTTGATCTTGAAAGATGTGATGGCGGGGAGAAAGGGTGGGGGAAGTTTTTGCTTGTATGTTTTTTCCAGATGATTTTAATTCAACTTTTTAAAAATAATGTAACACTCATGATTGAATGAGAAAGATGAAGAAAAAAGGTGTATATAATCCTGTTTCTCAGTTAAAAAAAAAAAAAAAAAGAATAAAAAATTGTAAGATAATAAAGAAGATGTGAGAGAGCAGGAAATACCATAACCCACTTTTTCCCACTTCAGATTATTAGAAAGGTAACTAGGAAGTAGTCTATCTAACATAAATATCTTCTATTTGCAGAGCCAATGGAACAAAGCTGCAAATGACTGCGTATGGCTTTTTTTTCCGTTTGAATGCTCTAATAGAAAAAAAAGTAACAGTAATTAATTCAAAGGAAATTGATATTGTCCTCTTATTTACTAATACACCATAATAATCTTTATTAGCGTGTATTTGTAAACCTTAAATCAGTTTCTAATACCTTATATCCACTACTTTGCTTATGTCTAATAAACAAGTTAATAATCTTAATATACCTAATAATATCTACTTAAAGACGATTATATAATCAGTGTAATTTTTTTCACATACCATCCATTTTTCACTGCCCTGTGTGATTTATTGCTTTTTACAGAATCAGGATTGTACATACATATTAGCATGGAATTTTTTTTTTTGTGCACTTGAATTAGCTTCAGTTTGGTTGGCAAGAGACTATCACAGTTACAAAGGCTATTTTTATATTAATATGTTTTGTTTATGCTTATTTATGAATTTTTCTTGTAGAGAACAAATGGCCACAGAAATATCAGAAATATTATCTAGGTAGGTGAGAAGACAACACCAAACAAATCAATCATTTTATAAATAGAAATCAAATATGAAATGGGTTAAATTATTATGGAATGAATGAAATCTGGGGGGTTTTAGGTGCTAAGCAGATAAGTAAATTATTTCTTTCAGATAAATCTCCTTTATCAATGCCTTTTTTCAGTAATTATTTTTCTACCATTTTAATTGATTATATAAAATAAAATAAGTTCACATATCCTGGTATTTTGTGTGATTTTGGTAATGTTCTTCCAGCTTTCTTCTCTTTTCACCTTTCTTATAATGATGATAGAAAACTAGCCTCCACATCTTTCAAAGGGGGGTTTCTACAGATTCAACAGAGTTAATGAAGTTACTTAATGTTAATGTAACTGTTAGCGCTTTTAATAAAAAAAAAATCTAGTTATAATTTCCTTCAAATAAAAACATTTTGAAAATTACCATATTAAAAACACATTAAAACCCCTCCTAAGATGTCTAAACAAAATCCCCTTCCGAGACATCTTGACTACTAGTGCAAGATTTTATGCACCATGCAGGAGGAAAGGAGAATGCAGGTTTAGATCTGAATACAATTCTACTGTAACAGTCTCATACTAGTTTGTGACAGAATACTAATTCTCTTTTGAAATAAATTGTTATAGTCATCTATATCAGTGAGAAATTAAAAAGTGTTTAGTGCAACTTGAGGACAAAAGTAAGCTTTTGACATTCATTTTCCGAAGCTTACATAAGAAGCAAAATTGTTTAGAGTTTTTAAAAGTGAATCTGTTGTTAAACAAGCTACTGTGCTGTGTATGTGGAGTCTGAAGGTGGCTTGTCTTATACGACTGAAGTTTTTTCTAGTTGTAGAATTGTTAATTGGGAACATAGCTGTTAACTAAATTTATTTCTTGCAGTGACATTTTATTCCTATTACTAAGAATAGGACTAAACAAAGTTGTGTGTAATTAATAAGTTAACATGTGAATTTAGATGGCTAGATTGTATTGCATATATTGACATCATTCCAATGACAATAGCTAATTCTTAAAGTGAAAAAAAATCACAAAACTTTGGGGCAAAATCAGAGGTTTTGTGTTTTGATTGAATTCAAGATGCAGTACTTCTTACTGCATGCTTATTTAACTAAATCTTTTTGACTTTTCATATATCAGAAGCTTGATTTGAGACTGATTTTTTTTAAAAAAAGTCTGAAAATACTGTTTATGATACATAACTTTGTCAGCAGTGAAGACTGATTATCAAGTATGATGCTTTTCTCTCTGCCAGACTATTATGCTTAAAGTCACGTAGAAAACAAGAGAGTGATCTGCAGAGTAGATCATGGGAACGTAGAATCGTTTTGGTTGGAAAAGACCTTTAAGATCATAGAGTCCAACCATAAACTTAACGCTACCAAGTGCACATCTAAGCCATTTCCAGAAGCACAGCATCTTTTAAATACCTCCAGGGATGGTGACTCAACCACTTTCCTGGGCAGCCTGTTCCAGTGCTTGACAATCACTGTAATGGAAAGGCTAAACCATTAAATTGGATTAGCATTCTTAAAGATTACTAGTTTAACCAGAGATCTTATAGCCTAGTTCTGCTGCTCTAAATTATGTAGCAAGCTCTTAGAGCAGTGAGTAGTGTTGCTAAATAAGGAATATCCTTGGGATTTGTCAGATGAGGTTCAAGAAGGTTAGACACCAGCAAGCGGAAATTACGTTTATCAGGAATCCTTTGAAGTCCTACAGATATGAAGTCCTACATATATGCCAATGATAACAAAACAAAACATTACAAATATATATTTTGAAGGGGACTCTCTGTGTAATGATTTGTTTTACACTGACAAGTAGTGCTAATAAAAGTTCCTCACCTATGTACTGGTTAAAAGTCAGAGATTTAATTTTTTATGTCAGACTTCTCAATACAATAATGAAGCTTTGTGTTGACTCAGATTAGTAGTATGAGTAGACATAATTAAGATGATGTTGCAATAAACAGATTCTGAAATTTTAATTAGATTTGAAGAGATGGTTCAGTTACTATCAAGAAGGTGATTTGGTTAAGCAGATTGTTTTATTCTATGAAACTTAAAAATAAATTGCATTTGTTATCTCTGCTTTCAGAGCTGCTATATCTACATAGAGAAATTTTTTACAGATGATGTATTTATAACTTACTAACTAAAATGGAAAAATAAACAACATAAAGCTTCATAGTCCCACGTGAGACCTTGATGGAAAATGAAGTCTAAAATAATATTCACTGGATTAAAAATAATGTAATAGTGTAACAAAGATATTGCTGCACAAATAGACTTTTACTTGAAAAGGCCTGGTTTCTTCTGTTTTTTTCTCTTGTAAATTTTTAATGTGACATATTGCATCAAGTATTTCCCTACCCTGTTAAAAGTCTAGTTTCTTCTGATCAAATACTCTCAGATCCTGAAAGATAATTCAGTTTGCCTCACGTTCTCAGATATGGGCATTAGCAGAGGGTGGTAAAATCACCTGTCTGTTCTTGAATTCCTTAGTGTTTAAATAGTATTCTGACCGCCACTGAATGTTGGAGTGTTTTGTACTTAGTTTATAGTCAAATAATCCATGGGAAGTTTGCTGTTCCTAAGGGAGAGTTCTTCCACTTCCTATCCATACCATTTTTAAGGAGGGGTCAGGAGGAGTATTTTTTTTTTTTTTCAGGTTTATTTTTATACATATACATTATGTTTGTTACATGGATAACCTTATACATAGTGTTAAAGAAGATGGAGATTTTAGTAATAATTTCTCACTTGCATTTGCTGTTGACTTTATTGCATACTACCTACGAGCCAAATACTTCTTGCCTTTGAAAAACACTGTTTCTGGATGAGTCTTTTTATACCGGTCAGTCTTAAACAAGGGTTTTGTCCGAATCCAGATTTAAACAACAGAGGAAACACCTTTTCTCCTTGTCTACTTCAGAAATACTTTTCCTCATCTGTTTTTTGACTGGAACTAAAAATGTATATGGCCACTCTTTATTGTCTGTATTGTACATATTGACTAATACCAAGAAAAATGTACACCAGCATGGAGTGAGGTACACGTAAATAGAATATGCATCTTTTCACACATTCCTTTTAAACTCTAGGCAACTGATCAGATTATTGTATGATTTTGGACATAAAAGGTGCTTTCACTTTTTCTTAATCATTTGAACATCTTGAAAATAATATGGTACTTTGCCTTTGAATTCAGTCCCTCTGCTGCTGATTTTCATTGTAATAAGTATGCTTCAGTGTTGATCGTGGGATCTGTTGCTCCTGTTGTAACAATTCCTCTTTCATACTTGAAAAAAATATTTACATATATATATATATATTTAATAATTGTAGGAGTCCTTCAGTTCAAGCCACAAAAGCTGCTGCTGGTACTAAGAAGCATGATCTCAGTAAGTGGAAATATGCAGAGCTTCGTGATACAATAAATACATCCTGTGGTAAGTTGGTTGGGTTTTTTTCTGATTTGAGAAAGTAAAGTGTTATTTGTGTGAAAAGTATAACTTTCTTCCAGTGTGGGATGGTTTCCTTTGTTACCTCTTTTACTGATCATATATTTATGATGTTAAATGGCTTGGGCTATAAAATACATGCTATAATTTCTTAATTAAGTTATCTCAGTTTTATGTATTTTCACAAAGGGAGTAATAATTATTATACTTTACCTGGAATTTGCGTGGTTTTGCTATAATTTCTTGCTGTCACCAAATCATAAAAAATCAAATATATCATGTAAAGCACAGTGTAAAATGTTTTCTGTCGCATATATTCGGATTAACTTTTAATTTTCAGAATGTGTAACTTAATTTGGGAAGCTCACAGTTGTAATTACTTTTTCCCCAATGTTATGAAGATAGATAATAATTATTTCTTTATTAAATATTATTTTTTCTTCCTGCTTCTGATTGAAAGCAGCTGATTAATTTCTGATTTTATATTTCTCCCTGGATGTAGAAATTTGGAATAAACTCATTGTCTCTATTGTATTTAAAACCCACTGTTAGCTGCAAACTCTACCTGAGTCTATTGTTTTTACATACTCAGGACTGGGGCAATGTTTTCAGCTGAACAGATGGTGCAATAATACATGGTACTAATGTTTGTTCATCCCTATGCAGTTTGGATACTCTTATGTGACTAATGAAAAAGCCTTACAATCATTCCGTCTCTTAGAATTATGAAATTCAGGAAAAATGAAATATATTTAATAAAGTGGAAAAAGAACCTAGATCTGAGCAGTCAAATTGCTGATTTTCTTTTTTTCAATTGCAGAAATAAAGTTCAGCAGTGAAATTTTATCTGTTTCTGTACTGCTTGGCTTGTGATAATGTCAACAGACAAATTTAGCAAAGTGAAAATTTTATTTGTAGCCTTGCCCTGCTCCAAATCTCACAGTAGAACAGCTGCTCTGGGGACTACCATTCCTCTAAAGGAGAAAAGGATATATAACATCCCAAGGATCTTTCTGGGCCAGAAAATATAAGCCCTGTTGCTGCAGATACTATAACATACAGTGTTACAAAGTGATCTAAAATTATGTACCTATCAATATAAAAAAGCATTTAATAAATATTTTTTTATGATTTTTCTCACTTCTCCCTTCCTCCCTCATTTTTGAGACAGATATTGAACTGTTGGCGGCTTGCAGAGAAGAGTTTCACAGAAGGCTAAAGGTATATCATGCTTGGAAATCCAAGAATAAGAAACGCAATGCAGAAACAGAACAGCGTGCTCCCAAATCAGTCACAGACTATGGTGAGGAGAAATATTTTTGTGTCTATAATAATTTTGATGACAATATTCTTAAGAAAACATTGTGAGAATGAATTTTGGTTTTGCTAAATTGAAGGAAATTCTTGGGATTTTTAAGGTGTTTTTATTATTGATTTAAGGTAAATATTTTGAAAAGATTGTAACTGGCAAATACTTTGCAGAAGGTAGAATACATTCAGGAGACCCAGATACATGTATGGAACAGCTCTCCCTAAAATCTTTTCTCATACCAACTCACATTTGTTAAAAATAGTTCTTGACTTGGTTTTGCAGTTGCTGGCATTTTTGATACATGTTTGTTGCTATGCTACTTAAGACTAAGGAAGATCATTTTTCATTTATGAAGCTGTGGTTTGCATTTTGAGACTTCTGAGACTTTGTTTTTAAGGTTGTTCATACTAGTTCTGACTTCTGTAATTACAAGATGCTTTCTTAGAGTAGTTAGTGTCAATTCAGAACAGCGAATTATACCTAAAGGTAGAATAGAGATTCTAAAAATAGTTCTCAGATAGTCCATCTTTCAGAGAATTGTATGTGATATAAAAAAGAAGATTGGAAGGAATCATGCTCTTTTATGTAATTCACTATTACATTTGGGGTCCAGACAAAAACCAAAAAAATATTGGTAATAAGGGGTGTTTTTCTCATGCTTTTATTCTTTTGTAAGATACAGATACATATACGTAGATGCTTTTAAAAGGTGCTAATAATTTCCTCATTTACCTTACTGCAAGCCTTATATATTTCAGGTTACATTCTCTTTTTTAAAGTTCTCTGAGTGTTGATACTGCAGTTTTTGATTATGGGATCACAAATTTAGCGTAGTCCCTGGTTTCTTATTAGACTGTTATTCTGCTGATTTCACAGATGAGTGTTTATTGTCAAAGCAATGCACTAAGGAGAATAAGTGACTGCATTTGTAATTCAACAAGAAGGTGTAGGAGTTACCATATTTGACACTGCCAGACCTGAAAATTAGGTGCCAAGTTTCTGGAGTGATATTTGCAGAGTGGATTGTTACTCTTCCCCTCCCTCTCAAGTCCAGTGATCATCTGTTACAAAAGGAATTTAAGAAATGAACAGAATCACAGCAAATGGATATAATAATATAGTGAGATCTTTCCTGCTGTCTTCTAGTTCCATGAGTCTTGTGTTCCTGGCCACACAGTTAATGGGAGAGGCAGAGGAAAGGGAAGATGGGGAGAAATGCTCTCCTGAAAGTCCCATTAGCCTGGGATTAGGGCATTGTCCTGGGATATGGGGGATACAGGTCCCAGGGGATACAGGTGCCCTACTTACTTCCAGTGTTAATCCTTCTACAAAGGTGTCTCCTTCCCCTTGATTAATTTACTGAGTTAAGCATTGCTTGAGCATTACCTGAGAATTTGAGCTTTTCAGGGAACTTGGTGCAGATATATGGCAGGTGAAATCTGGACACCTGGAAAAGGTGTTATCAAAGAATGACCATGCCTAGTAATGTGGTTTTAAGTGCTTAAGAAAGCTTAAGACTGAAACAGCAGGAAAAGACATTTGAAGCACTTCTGCAAAGTGGTAAGTTGCTTTGAGTTTGAATTTGCAAATTCTGTCTGGAGTTAAATGAGTAAAATAAGTATTCACACACAGTATTGCTGATTCATGCACAGTATTGCTGATTTCTGTCAAAGAGCAGAAAATATTTAGATTTGTGCAAATAAAACTGGGAATATTCATGATCTCATCACATTTAGTTAGAAATTTACAGCATTCTTTTCAATGCTTTTCATTGGTTTTTTTTTTACTTTTTTTGAAGTATTGCTTCCTATTTCTGAAGAAAAGTTAGAACATTGCAGTTCAGAAGAAAGTCACTGATAGAGACCTTTAGAGACTCTCATTAATGTCAGAAGTAATTATTGCTATTGGCAATAATTTTACTACGTGGGCATTTCACATTTAGGTATTATAATGATCTGAGAAGGTAGTAAGAAACTCTGATTTCTTACACATTGAAGCTGAAATTCTTCCAGGTGTCAGTGGATATGTGCTTCAAATGATGTAGTTTCTTCTTTCTGTCTTAGTTGATGTAATACAATTTTACAGGTCTGGAATTTTTTTCCTGGCAGAAGTCTCAAAAATTGAAAGTATTAACTAGCAGATTTGTTGCAGCAATTTGTGTTTAGCATGTATACAACTGAGGTTTTGTAACAGGCATAGCAAATAATTGAAGTTATAAAATACAAAATTAACTCCTCATGAAAGTAGAAGCTGTTGGAAATCTACGAAACTTGAGCAAGTGAGACATTATATACATGTCAAGGAGTAGAAAATTAATAGAAATACTTAGTTCAACATCTGTATTTATTTTGTAGCTAGAATTTCCATTTGTCTATCATCAGCATTGGTGAAAAATGTTGAGGTAATGAAACTATAACTTATAAAGGATCAGTACTTTTATGTTTTGTTCAACATGTAATATTTGTTCACAGATTTTGCACCATTTTTGAGCAGCTCACGTAAGTGGGGAGATGGTTATTTAAGCTAACTTTGAAGAATAGGAACAGTTGAGAGCTCTATACTAACATTAATTCATCCAGTGTTTTGCTACATGTGTTCACAGAATTTAATTGTTAAAAAAATCTATTTTACAATTTGAAAATTTTATTCAAATGGTGGTAATTATATGTTCTCTAGTAATTTACGACTGTACTGCTTATCTTCATGACATTCTACATATCTGAGCAGTCATGGGAAGGGAGAATGAGATAACCTTTTTGATGTAGGTTATTTGAAGTTCTAATCTATTTTTCTCTCCCCACCCTAACATATGTTACTGTCTGCACATGGCTTCTTGTTGTAGCAAAACTCTGGAATCAATCTAACAGCTCTTTTTCTAGCAGACAAACTAACAATCAGGTGACGGTTTCTTTTGAATAAAAGATTACAATTCCGTGGCACTGAAAGGTAGATGCTATATTGGCTGCTTAGCATTCCTGTCCTCTAGATTTCCTCTTGGATTTAGGTATGTGTAGAGGTAGAAATATGTCTTAGCAATTACCATTGCAGTGCAAAAAGTGTTTGACAATGCTAAAGCACTGATCTACTGTGATAGATGTTCAGACAATTTGCAGAAAACAGAATTAATTTCCTATAAACTGTAGACTATGTCTCCCTGTAAAATACATGCTTTATCAGAGTTGACGTATAAAAGTAGCAATTACCTATTAACATTTGTTTTATTTTTCTTCTCTTTGTTTATGTAGACATGGAAAAAAATTGAGGGGTATGATTTGTGTAGTATGTACATTTTTTAAGATTCTGCTGTTCACATTTAGAAAAACTATTTTTGCTTGAAACTAAATGGAAGAAATAGCAAGGTGCAGTTGCTAGTCTATTAGTCTTGTTCATAACTAAAAATACATTATTAGAAGTTATTTTCATTTTTCAGTTTATTAAATTTTAGCTCAAAAATTAGCTCTGCTTAATACACATAAAAAGGAATTTACTTTTAATTATTTCCTTTATGCTGAAACATGGGAACTGATTTTCTTTTGTACCGATGATGTAGGTTCACATTGAGAATTTGTAACAGTGGTATTGTAAAACCACTAAAACAAGATCAGTAATAAACTTTTGCAGGAGGCAGTTATTAAAGGAAAGGATCTTGCTTGTAAGAGCATTTACTATTTAAAACTGATTATGATAGTGTATGCATAACATTAAGAAGGTCGATCAGTTGATCAGTTAGCATAGAGACTATTCGCTTTTATTTAAAATAAAGTTTCTCTCTGAAATGTGTAGGACTCTGATGGAGTCCAAAAATGTATATGGGAAATGTTTACCAAAAATATGTATGAAGCTTTAAAAAAATTCTATATAACTGTGTCTCCTCCAGTTTGGTCTGTTGATCTTAATGGTCTGAAATAAACAATTTCTTTAAAAAAGAAAGCAGCCAGAGAGTAGTTCTAATGTTTAGTACACAGAAATCCAGGCAGAAAGTTATGTTTGGTGGCATCTTTGTAATAAGCAGTATTTGTTGTTGACATTTCTATTAACAAATTAGTAATTTCTAACAGTATTACACACCTTTCTGTGTTGACTGTCAAAAATCTTCAAGTGATGCTTTGTGTTTTTGTAACTGAAAATGCTTCTTTGCACTATGGCCTTGTTTTACAAAGAGGTGGACTGAACTAGGGCAGTTACTGATTAATGTTTCTGGTTGGTAAGACATTTTATATAGGAAGTTTTATCTTAAATATTGATTTAAAGCAGAATGTGTTATTTTACTAACTTTTAGTCTAAAATATACTTGATGCCGTTGAACAACCTAATATTGCGTGTAGATGCAGTAGTTGACATGAGCCTTTCCTCACCAGTGTTGTAGCTGTAGAGATTAAAAGAATGGACATTACCAAGATCAGAATAACAGAATCACACAAAATGTTAGGGATTGGAAGGGACCACAAAAGATCAACTCCCCCTCCGCCAGAGCAGGTTCACCTGCAGTAGGTCACACAGGAATGTGTCCAAGCGGGTTTTGAATGTCTCCAGAGAAGGAGACTCCACAACCTCTCTGGGCAGCCTGTTCCAGTGTTCTGTCACTCTCACAGTGAATAAGTTTTTCCTTATGTTTACATGGAACCTCCTGTGTTCCAGCTTGCACCCATTGCACCCTCAGACATCACTGAGAAGAGCCTGGCTCCATCC